AACGTAGGAACTCACCTTATTTTATAGATGAGAAAACTGAGAGGTTTGGCCACTTGCCGAAGGCCACGCAGACAGCATGAGGCAGGGCTGGGCCTCCACCCGGTCTCTGCTCTTCCCGTCACCCACTGACTGCTGCCTAGCCCAGGGCAGGGAGGTGGTCTTGGTTGCCACATCTCTGTTATTGTCAAAGATCACATTAGCTTTTCGGAGGGCAGCCCCATCTCCCTGTTGACTTGTTGAATTTCAAGTCTACTAGCACCCTAAATCAGTGGTTCTCAACCTTCCTAATGCCGCGACCCTTTAATACAGTTCCTCATGTTGTGGTGACCCCCAATTTCATTGTTACAAATTGAACATAATTAAAGCATAGTGATTAATCACAAAAACAATATGTAATTATGTATGTGTTTTCCGATGGTCTTAGACGACCCCTGTGAAAAGGTTGTTCGACTCCCAAAGGGGTCGCGGCGCACAGGTTGAGAACCGCTGCCCTAAATTGTTTTATAACTTTATTTTCTTCTCATTGTAAAAATAATATATGCCATTGTAGAAAAAACTTAGGAAATACATGAAAAATATAAAGTATAAACCTTTATAGCACTTCCTGTTGTAAAGTTTTCCCACCTTGCACTTGGTTGCCTTGTTTTTCGTTATGAAAATAGAACTCTACCTTCATCCTCAATGAGACCCTCTTGCTAGGTCCCAGTCAGCTCTCCTGTCTCTCGGAATCTTGTTTTGTTACCAGTTCTTATTGGCACCTGGGCAGGGCTCAAAAAACACCCGTGCTGTGGCTGACGGACCGAATGGTGCAAGCATCCAGATTGTCGATGGAAATACAGACATACCTCGTTTTATTGTGACCTGCTTTATTGCCCCTCATAGATGTTGCGGATTCTGTTGTTTTTAATTCATTCATTCATTTTAAATATATTTTTATTGATTTCAGAGAAGGAGAGGGAGAGAGAGATAGAAACATCAATGATGAGGAGAATCGCTGAGTAGCTGCCTCCTGCACACCTCCTACTGGGGATTGAGCCCGCAACCTGGGCATGTGCCCTTGACCAGAATCGAACCCGGGACCCGTCAATCCACAGGCCAACGCTCTATCCACTGGGCAAAACCGGCCAGGCCCTGACCCTAAAACACCTTCCCTTTTCTTTTGTTCTGTTCAGATCCTACCATTTTCCCAGACCAGCTGGATCCCACCTCTTCCAAGAAGTCTTTATTGTTTCAGATACAAAGACTCTTTGGGGTTCCAGAGCATCTGTAGTGCAGCCATACCATTTGTCCTTAGTTATAGAATGACTCGCACTGATCACTTCCCTCTCCTGCTGGGCCTAGTTCCGTCAGTGAGGGACCCGAATCGCTCGTTTCCCTCATGGTATCCATCCTACGAAGTGGAGATCAAGATGAGCCCCCAAATGATCTGGCTGGGGAAAAAGTGACTGGCCGTAGCCTGCTAGGGAAGGTGTCCGAGCCTTGAGCTTCTCTGAGGAATGGGAGAGTAGAGCTCAGAGGCGCCCCGGACCCTCCCCACACCCCACCCCTGGCTTCCTGGAAGCCTGTCTGTCCTCAGCTCCTCCAGTTTACATAGCGGTTAATCATCTGGGTTCCAACAATGGGCTCTGCTCCCGGTGGGGCCTGTGAAAAGGAGATTTGGTTGGTGTTTCACATGGGGGCGCTTGAGATAAAGAGGATCTCTGTGCCTCGATATTTAAGGAGACACAGGAGGGTCAGTGGCCCTTTCCAATCCTCGGGGCTTCTCACAGGGAGCCTTGGAGGTCAGATCAGTGTTTTCCTTCCTCCTCACAGCACCAGAGCACTGACCCTTCCGCGCCTCCCAGAGCGTCACGCCAGGGGCCCAGCCTGGCAGCTCCCCTCCCCTCCTCGTCCACCTGGCGGGGCGTGACGGGAGAATACTGACCTGGGACTCGGTGACCAGGGCAATAAGGTCCCCCGATGATCCTGGGTCGGTGATGGGAAGACCAGGTCATCTCTAGATTTGCCGTTACTTTGCATTTCCTTGAGGTGCCACGAGGCCTCCTGGTCTCTACACAGCAGTGTGCAGTGCTTGCAGGCATAGACCTGAGCCGGTCTGGTTTGTGCCCAGCTCCATTACTGGTTAGTCGGAGACTGTGGGCCACCTGACCTCTCTGCCGGGTGGCGACAACCTCCTGCCTCAGAGGGCGGCTGGAAGGTCCAGTGAGCTGCTGCGTACAACACACGAATGTGCCTGGCACAGACTACATCACGGTGTCTGACCCGGAAGTGACATGAACTGTGTGCCCTATTATTTGGGAATGTGGCTTTTCCTCCTGTGGTCCTGGCAGGCTGTTGGGAACAGACGCCAGACTGTACCCGCCCAATGGAAAGCCTTGTATCAGGATGTGGGAGCATCAGGCAGGCAGAGAGCCCTGGGCGAGGCCCCGCCAGTCTGGGGTCTGCAGGTACTGACTGCAAGACCAGAGGCAGGCCACCCAATCTGTCTGGGTCAGGCCTTGTCTGAACCCACTAGTAACCGTAAGAGGATAAAGCTTTTAATAGAATGCATCAATTGTTTTGATTAATTTCCTGCAAGTGGAAATAGGCCTACAAGACAAACAACAACAAAAAAACACAGAAAAAAGTTTCTTTTATTTTAATAATTGGAGAGAAAGTTACAAAATAGACAACACAGAGCCTTTTGACTCCCTCAGATTGGCAAGGAACACGGGGATACAGACATGTAAACAAACAGAGCTTCCAGATGTTATTTTGTCCTATAGAACTTCCAGAACACAGCAGCGCCCATGCTCTGCAGGCAAGTAAAGCAAGTCTCCATGCAGAGGGCAGCGAGAGGCTCCTTGCCCTCAGCCGGGCTGTGCAATGCTGCTCTCTCTGGGCACGTCTTCAGGGGTGGCCCAGCGGCTGTGTTCTGTGGACCACTTTCAAGTGTGCCTTCTCGCTCTTTTTCAGCCCCTGCCCAGCTCTCCCCTCTGACCCAGGCCCCGTTCCTGTTACTAGCAGGAAACCTGCCAAGCTAAGGGAGCCTGGCGAGTCCCTCAGTTGGAGCCACTGGCTCGAGACCCAGCCTTGCTACTTGAAAAACAGAAAAAAGGCTACAAATATAACTTATTAGCTATCTAATACTGTCCTCCTGCTACAGGTTTCTGATGTGTCCCAATTTTTGGCTGTTGTTCTCAGGTTTTTGACTCAACCAGGAAAAGAGCAGGCCTTGTGGCCTGACCTGGACTCTTCTGTGCTTCAGGCCACAGCTCTGGGCCTCTCAAAGATTCTCCCCACCTGGCTCACCCCTGAAGCTAGACCCAGACAAGCCCTCGACCTCCAAAACCGTGAGCTGTTACGCACAAGTCTGTTATCTGAACAGAAGGCCCTTGGTCGGCCCAGGCTGCCTGGAAGCAGTGGGAGGGAGGCAGAGCTGTGGGAGGGAAGAGCAGATGGGATGTGCTGTCCTGGTGGCAGGGGACCAGACAAGGCCCGAGGAAGGACACAGGTAGCAGGAAGCTTGGGGCGTCAGGGTAGCCACCCCAGAACCACGGCACAGAGCACGTGAAATGTCCAGGATAAATAGAACCTCATGGGAGAGAGATAAGCCAGCTCCATCCTCTCTTAAAAATAGTCGCCATCAGCACCAAAAATATATTAATATCTATACATTTGTCATCTTTTAAAAAAAGGGAATAAAACCTCCTTGGCACCTTGTCATTGATTTTTTAAAATGAGGTGATATGTGGAAAGGCCTCCCGTGTGTGCAGGCGCGCACATCTTCAGTGGTGCACACGCGCCCCGCAGAGGGCAGAGCCCTGCAGCCTTGGGCGTCAGAAGCACTGCCAGGCAGGTCATCGCCAGGTCATCGCCAAGCGCCACGGCCGTCTCTCACAGGCTGCTTTTTGCAGGTGCTCCTGGCCCTGCCACCCACAGGGGACCAGCAGCCCCACCCTGTGCTCAGAGGCAGAAAGGTCACAGGACCACCCTCCTCCGGGAAAGAGTTCCTGGCTCTGCAGGTGTGCTGCTTCCTCAAAGGCAGTCCTGGCCTGGCCCCTGCCCCAGACGTCTGCCCGTCTGCCCAGAATACAGGCTTGGATCAGCCTCCACCCAAAATACAAAAATGCCGACATGTGCAGAGGTCAGTGCGGGGCCGAGTGAGCACACATCCTGGGGCTTCAGTCCCGATCACCAGCGTTCCAGCAGGAGGCCGCAGGAGGTGGACTGGCCAGGCCGCGGGGTGGTGGCCCTTCCTGGGCCGGACGGCGCACTCAGAGGTGGTGGTTGCTGTGCAGCAGGGAGTTGACGGTGTTCTGCAGGGCCACGGCCACCTTCTTGGAGGTCTTGCGCAGCAGCGGGCTGTCAGGGTGGTGCTCCTTCAGGTGCAGGATGTGGCCCTCCTGGCTCTCGGACGTGCAGCCGCACTCCTCGCACACATACAGCTTGGCCCGCCGCTCCTTGTATGCGTACTTCTGCTGCACGCCATGGATCTTCTTGAGATGAGACTCCAGGGAGCAGCGCTGCGTGAAGGCCTTGTCACACAGGCTGCATTTGTAGGGCCTCACGCCTGCGAGGAGGACAGGGCTGGGCGTCAGGGACCTGACAGCAGCTTCCCGGGCACAGAAAGGCCCGGCCACCTAACTCTGGGGAAGAGGAAGGGACGGAGGCCTGTGCATCTCCAGCTCCCCGAGGGCCCTAACTGCTGAGCTGAGGACGGCTTCTGCCCTGAGCTCCGGTGCCCCTCCCAGCCCCCCACCCCCAGACAGCAGGCCTGCCGAGTGTCCCATGTGGCCTCAGGCAGGCGCCAACCACGGGGCTCCTCTCACCAGTGTGGGTGCGGACGTGTCTCTTCAGGTCGAAGGTGTCATTGAAACCCTTCCCACAGTAGGTGCAGAGGTGCCTCTTGACGTCGTTGTGACACTTCATGTGGCGATTCAGCATGCGCTGGTAGGTGAAGGCCTTATGGCAGATGTGGCAGGTGAAGAGGTCTCCACTGGGGCTGTCCCCCAGCGTCACCTGTGGGCAAGGACAGTCTTTGTGACAGATACCCAGCAGTTAGGACTGCAGGTTGGCAGGACACAAATGCCAGCCCCCAGACCCCCTGAGGAAAGTGACACCACCCGAGGCCACACCTCTGTGCTGCTGGCTCACAGAGATCAGTGGTGACCGGAAAGAATCTCTGAGTCAATGTCAGCCTCCTGTGAGCTTCCCAAGTCCTCTTTCAAGGTTGCCAGCCAGCCCCTTCTTTTCTGGAGACGGGCAGGGAACTCCCTATATAGACAGCCCATTCATCCTCAGCGATTCTACCTGCTAGAACGTTCTCCCCTTTGCCGAGCCCAAATCTTTCCCTGTCGTTTCTGCTCTCCGTCCTCATTCTATGCCTTGGGACAGGGAAAAATGTCCACAACACTGTCTCCTGCACAGCCTTTCCCGGCGGAGACACTGCTGGGAGCCTGGGCCCCTCCAGGTGAGCCCTGCCCCTGGTTTTACTTGAGCCAGGCCTGACATGATATGGTTTGAGTCCCTTTGCTACCTGATGACTTGCTTGCTTATAAGCATTTTTCGTTTTGTTTTTTTGTAATGTGGAAAATCTCAAATCTATTCCTAAGTGGAGATGTGGCCTCAATGCCCCACCTCTGTTAATGTTCTGAGGCTGCCTGTACTTGGTGGGTGGCCATCGCCGGCAACTTCTCCTGAGCTCCCTGTGCACTGGGTGCACCTGTCACACCGCAGCTCGTCCTCTGTACCCTGGCCCCGGGTAAATGCTCCTTATTGCCAGCTAGTCAAGATCAGGATTCGCCCTAGCCAGTTTGGCTCAGTGGATAGAGCATCGGCCTGCAGACTGAAGGGTCCAGGGTTCGATTCCAGTCAAGGGCACATGCCCGTTGCAGGCTCAATTCCCAGGCAGCCAATCAATGATTCTCTCTCATCTTTGATGTTTCTGTCTCTCTCTCCCTGTCCCTTCCTCTCTGAATCAATAAAAATATATTAAAAAAAAAAAAAAGACCAGGACTCATTCCAGCACCTGCTCTCCGGTGCCCTCTGCTTTCTCTGCATCCCTCCCTACCTACTGGGGCCCCATGCTGGGAGGAAGTGGGTGTGGGGATCAGGGGCGCCCCGATGGTGCTGGCTCTCTGGCCAGCCCAGCACACATCTGGGTGGTTCCCCTTTCATTACAACACACACTTGGCCTCCGCAGGAAACAGAGGAAAGAACAGTATCCACTGCCAGCTTCTCCAGTCTTTTGGCACGTGGACAGCGCTTCAAGAACGCTTCCACTGGATCAGCGCTGCGGGCGCCTCCCGGCCTGGAGCTTTCAGGAAGGAAGGCCCGGCCAGGGCAGCCTGCGCAGGTGCGCTACCTCGAAAGCCTGGGGCATGTACCACTCCCACTGCAGAGCACAGCGGGGCGCCCACCAGGCCTGCCCTAGGCGCAAGGCCTCGAGTGGCACTGGGTGAGGCGGAGACTGTTGAGCACGTGCCTCAGCCGATAGCCAACCACCAGGCCGACTCCAGACCTCACTCGCCTCGTTGCCGATGGGCCCCAGGAGGTGCTGAGCCGGCCTCACTTCTCCCTGATTTTCCTAGGACTTCGGTGTGAACAGGCTCCCCTTGAGGCCAGAAATAAAACTAAACCCCCAGATGGACTCCCAAGGCTTAAATGTCCTTTGAACCCAGCTACTGCTTCCCCACATGACAGCCTCACTTTAGAGCCACTTTTCATCTCTTCCAGCCCCTGTCTATGCCCAGCGCAGGGTCACCTCTGCAGAAACCTGGACCCAGACCTGAGGCTGGTCTCCACTTAGGTCTCATTTGTGCCACATCTCCTGGGCTGTTCCTCAGAGACAGTGCGAGGTCAGTACCTTCATCTTGGTGCGCAAGAAGCCGTGGTCTCTGCTCTGGGGGTCTGCCAGGCGGCCCATGTCTTCAGACGGCAGCTGAGCCACCACACAGGGTCCAGAGGCCACGCTGTAGCCAGAGCCTCGAAGGCTCATGTCCAAAGCCAGGGGGCACGAAGGGGGCTCAGCCACTGATGGCTCTGGCTCTGGGCAGGGCTGTGGCGGATAGAAGCCCAGGCTGACTGCAGAGAGAAGAATGGCCAGGTGAGGGGCTTGGTGGAGAAAAGGGGATTCAGTGGGATTTCAGGAAGGCTCCCTGGCACTTAGCTGGCTGGACCTGGAGCCTCCATCCCACCCCTGGCAGGCATGTGGCAGAGCAGGGCTACCCCCAGCCCACTACATACTGCACCTCCCTCCTGCCCCATTAAGGTAATTACAGGTGACGCCAGCCAAGCGCCTCGACCCACAAGCCTGCCCGCTGAGTAATTTGTGTCTTAGCGGAACTGGGAGGACCAAACCTGCCCTGCCAATTATCCCTCCGGAGCAGTCTGCCTGCCCCACCTGGGCCAGTCCCTCTGGATTCCAGGCCTTCATCCCTGCTCCTGCAAGGACAAAGGGCAGCCCTGGAGGCCTGCGCCCAGGGACTCATCCCTGCCCCGGAAGAGTTCCTGGCAGCCTGAGCCACCCTGGGCCTCTCCTCTAGGCAGTTTAGCTGCTGACTTTAGGGCATTGGGTGCTCCTAGCCCCTTCCTCCTCCGATTGGCCAGTCCCTGCCGCTGTAGCCCAGAAGGGCTCCAGGGACCCCCCTCCCACTGGCCCAGCTTGGCAGGCAAACAGGCCAGGTGGGGTGGAGCAGGGAGGAGGTCAGGGAGCAGCAGGTGGATGCTGCGTAACAGTCTCCCGGGCACCTGCCCAGCTGTTGCGCAACCCTCCCCCACGGCAGGGACCGCTCGCTGTACAGTGAGGCTGGGCTCCCGCCCCCCTGGGCACCACCGCCCTCCTCGGCACCGATACCTGGCAGCCTTTGACATGACCGCTCCCCATGACAGACACCTCACACTGAACGGGGCCGGGGAGGCTTGGCCCTGGTCCCCACTAGGGAGGAGGAAGAGTTCTGAGTGACACAGGAAACAAGCCTCAGGGCTCGCAGCTGGGGCAAGCAATCTAATGTTTCAGTTTAGTCAAGAATTTTCTTCCAAAAAGGAAAGCTCTGTACTTAAAACCCACACGTGAGGAGCATTTTCCAAGCCACACAAGGAAAAACCCAGAGGGGCCAAGAAAGAAAGGACAAGTGAGCTTCAGGGAGAGGGACTTAGAAGGTTGAGTTGGGGTGTCAGGCCCATGACAAGGCCCACTGCCCACAGCTGGTGAGACAGAGGGACCCAGGCAGGAGGGCTGCTGCCCTCACCTCCTCTCCAGGCCACTGCGACGAGGCAGAGGAACGTACGGATGGAGGGTGAATGTGAGACACCGAAGTTTCGGGAGAGGCCACGGCTCTCGCCCCCTCAAAACACAACAAAGGTCTGACAGAGGAAGAATGCGCGGCCTGCCGCCCAAACCCGTTCTGCTGGCACTGGCGTCCGTCTGTCCGGGGGACTTTAATGAGCCACCTCATTCCGGGAGTTGATTCACCAGCGCCTGGCCCTGGCCTGGCCCCTGAAGTGGCGTGGCACCTCCCCAGGCCCTGGAAGGCTGGCCAGCAAGCCCAAGCTGGGGGGTTGGGGTGGGGGGACACGACTCCTGTCTTGCTGCAAGGGCAGCTGTCTATATACACGGGCTGGGAGTACTGGGGGGCACAGGGGCGTGTCTGAGTGTTGGCAGTTTAGCAGCTATTACAGATCTTGGCCAAGAATTCAAAGCTGAATGACTATTTCCATTTCTCAGTCCAGGTAATGGAACCTCTACCCTCTCCTGTCTTTCGGTGTCGGAGGCGTGAGTGAGGCTCCGGAGAGTGGGAGCCGGGCGCACGCGCACATGGAGCAGCAGAGGGAGGAGGGACAGCAGGTGAGGCAGCCGGTGTGACTCGCGGTTCCCTCTCTAATAGATGGGCCCATGGGTAGTGTTCCAAGGATCCACGCCAGTTTGGGGGGGACCCCGTGCCTGCCTCTCCCATTACAGAAACCTTGGGATGCTGGTGCTAAGGAACTGGGGACGCGCGCCCACCCGGCCTGGCCTCCTTGCTCCTCTAGCTCCCCCGAGGGCAGCCTCATGGCCGCCAGGGTGGGGATGTTTGCCTCATCCTAGCCACCTGCCGAACCCGTCCTCCTGCCACCCCCACGAGCGTGTCCCTGATGCTGCCGCACGCACAGGGAGTGCTCATCGGCGTGCCGCTGCTGTCACTGGGTGTCACCGAGTGTCACTGAGTGGCAGGAGGCAGGAAGCAGAACTGGTTGGGCCCGCCTTGTGCACCTCTGTCCCCTAATTAGATGTTTCCGGCAAGGCGGTGGCCGCTGTGGCTATTCACTCCCCGCCCACAGCTGTGGCGTGTGGCAAGGCCAAGGCCAAACCAGCCTGGCCCTCTCCCCACTCCCTCAGGAGGTTTGCGGGTTCCCCTTCTGTTGCCCAACTTGCCTCCACCTGCATGGCATTGAGGGCAGAGGCCCAGAGCAGCGCCCATCTGAGGGCCTTCCCCTCCCTCACCCTCAGCAAGTCCTGTCTTTCTTGGATTGAAAACTACTGGGCCCTTCCTGGCCGGTGTGGCTCAGTTGGTTGAAGTGTCGTCCCACATACCAGAAGGTTGCGGGTTCGGTCCCCGGTTGGGGCACATATGGAAGGCAACCAATGGATGTGCCCTCTCACATCAATGTTTCTCTCCCTCCCCTTCATCCCCCGTCTCTAAAATCAATAAGCATATCCTCAGGTGAGGATTAAATCTTTTTTTTAAAGCTACTGGGCCAAATACTGGACAGAGTGCCAGGCCCTGCTCCGTCTAACGCAGCCGTGGGCAAACTACGGCCCGCGGGCCGGATCCAGCCCATTTGAAATGAATAAAACTAAAAAAAAAAAAAGACCGTACCCTTTTATGTAATGATGTTTACTTTGAATTTATATTAGTTCACACAAACACTCCATCCATGCTTTTGTTCCGGCCCTCCGGTCCAGTTTAAAAACCCATTGTGGCCCTCGAGTCAAAAAGTTTGCCCACCCCTGGTCTAAGGCCTCAGGCCAGGGCTGGGCACGAGGTCTGGTCTCAGCTCTCTGGGGAGAGAGAGCAAGTGAAGCAGATGCGAGGATGCACAGCCTCTGAGCCTGGGGCTGGGGCTGACCTGGGGGGTGGGGGTCCACTCAGCTCTGAATGGGGTGGGGGGAACCCACTGCGTCAGTACATCCCAGGTTGGTGTTAGGCCACCTGACACCCTTATCAGCAAGGGCAGGGGTCTTGTGCCGTCTCCTCCAGCCCCAGCAGGTCAGTGAGCAATGCCTGAAAGAAAGCCAGTGCCAGCCAACTGGCAGAGGCCGCAGCCCCGGGAACACAATGGGTCTGTCCCTCAGCCTGGCGCTTCCATTCTGTGAACGCCAAGTTTTTCTCTCAGGTAGTGTCTTTCCCCGCTCCCCACCCACTTTTCATGCCACGTCTATAATGAAGTTGAAACTGTGCACTCAGCCCTCACACTAGGTGGACAGCCCTGACCAGGAACTACGGCCCGTTTGCATCCTTCCTACCCTCCCGTTCAGCACAGGGCTGGGCATCCTGCAGGATCCACACAAGACTTGTTGGAAGTGAACAGCGTTAAAAAGAAACCCTGATATCAACAAAGCCCATGCTTCGCTCCTGTCCTCCCTGTGCCCTCACAGCTCTCCTGCTGGGACAAACAGGTTGGCAGCCTGGGTGACGGCACCCCACGGGACAGGTAGGAGTCCCACCTAGCCCACTGCCCAGGCCCAAGTTGCTCTCTGTCCCCATCCACTGTCTGGCTGTCTGCTCTCCCAGCCTTGCTCCCTGGAGAGCTTGGTGACAAGTCGTTCACTGTCGACACTTCCCAGGAATCACAAGAGTAATCATCACCAGCCCCACGAGGGTAGCTCAGTTGGCTAGAGCATTGTCCCGATACGTCAAGGTTGTAGGTTCGATCCCCATTCAGGGCACATACAAGAATCAACCAACGAATGCATAAGTAAGTGGAACATCACCTCCCCCCGCCCCCCCCCCTTTCTTTCCCCCACTCAAATCAATACATTTAAAAACATCATCATCATCATCATCATGATCACCAGAGGCCTAATCTCTCCCCACCCCCACACGTGTATTCTGGGACCCAAAGCTGACTTTCGTGGCCTTCAGGGCCAGGTGAGGAAACACCAGTCTCCTGCACAGTAGCCTGTCTGCCTCCTCGGGGTGGGCATGTGCTGAGGAACTGGCAGAACAGGCAACAGGGGCTCGAAGCAGAGGAGGGGGTGGCTGGGGACCTGCAAGAGGCCCTGGGATGCCCATGTCATTCCAGTTTCCCGGGGCCATCTACCTTCAGGAGCCTTTCTGGCCTCCCGAGATTGAGAGAGACTGAGGTCGCACCTAAGGCCTTGGAGGACTTGCTCCTTGGGAGCTTCCCCTTCAGACCATGAAATGGAATTCGGCCCCTGGGTACAACGGGGGGGGGGGGGGGGGGGGGGGGGCATCCTCAAGAAACCAGCATTACTCCCAGCACTGCAGTCAACATTGACATAACAAAGGAGGAACGCCAGGGGAGAGGGGAGAGGGGAGTGAAGGGCACCGCGGGTAGCATCTTAACCTTAACTGCAAACCCTTTCACCTCCCAGCGTGCGTGCAGCCATCTCCCACCCCTGTGGCCCCCAGCCACTCCTGGGCTTGTCCTTGGCTTTGGGAGGAGAATGAGGCCCAAGGGAAAGGTTCTGCCCTGGGGATGTGTGTGGGGGGAACCTCTTTTTTTTTTTAAATATATTTTATTGATTTTTTACAGAGAGGAAGGGAGAGAGATAGAGAGCTAGAAACATCGATGAGAAACATCGATCAGCTGCCTCCCGCACATCCCCCACTGGGGATGTGCCCGAAACCCAGTCACACACCCTTGACCGGAATCGAACCCGGGACCCTTCAGTCCACAGGCCGACGCTCTATCCACTGAGCCAAACCGGCTTCGGCGGGGAACCTCTTGAACTGTGCCTCAGGGCGAGAGCCTGGAGTGCTGGTGGGACTGGGCCCAGGGCCTTCAGTCAATAAAAGTACAACTCCTTCCGCTCCCTCTGGTGTTTCAGGGTCTCAGAGGGCCCTGGCGGGAAGGTCAGACCTCAAACACTTCCCTGTTCCCAGCCCCTGCAGTGCCTCTCAGGGGGATGGATGGGGTCAATGCTTAACTGGTCACAACGTGCCCGGTCTGTGAGGTGGGGTGACGGAAACGTGCCCAGCCGGCTCCTGGGGTCACAGTCGACTGGTGATGGATGGCCCAGCCAGGGGACAGGCCAGCCCCCCCGCCCCCCCTCCAGCCATCTGAGGCACCGGAGCGTGGCCCGAGAACATTCCATTTCTCATTTCCAAAAACGGTGGGGACACTCTCCAGTGCGCCACATGGCTTTTGAGACAAAAATAAGTTCTTTAACTTCGACCCTTTACTTGACTCCACAGGGTTCTCCCTGGCCAGAGCGATGAGGCCACATCTCACACGCACCTCCATCCTGCAGGGCACCTCCATCCTGCAGGGCGAGTGGCCGGCAGGCCTCCCCACCTGGGTCCCAGCAGCAGGTGGCAGACGCCCAGAAGCCCTCCTCTGCGCCCCTGGGACAGCCCTGGGCTGGAGGTCCCCTCAGCCACCCGCCGTGGCCGCCAGAACTGCGGGGGGAATCACCAGGCCAAAGAAGTCAATGATTTCGGCAAACGGAATTTCTTTGTCCTTTGTAAAAGTCAACACACGATCTGTTCCTGATTGGGATGTGAAATAAAACTAAAAATAACAGCACAGAGAGTCTCCTGCAAGGCTCCCAGCTCACCTTTACCACAGTCCAAGTTCAGTTATCAGATCCCAGGGAGCAGCTAAGCAGCAAGTCAAACACAGGTGAGGGAGGAGGCGGGAGGGGGACGCTCGTCCCTCACCGCACGGCCCTGCTGGACCTGGAACCCCCGCCAGAACGCGGGGAAGCAAGAAACTGTAAACAGCCCGGCCGCTAGTCCACCTCCGGGAGGAGGCAGCTCACTCCCCTCTCGTGCCCGTTCCCCGCCGGAGCCCCGGGTACGGAGGCCACGGACCGGGGACACATCCCGCCAGCGCCGCGGGCCTTTGGGCCCCGGTGGGTCGGCCACCCAGGTAACCACAGCACCTTTTCCAGAAACGTATTCGGGGGAGAAACTGAGGCAAGAGCCCTCACAGGCCCCCACCGCCCTCATTTCTCCACTTTTCTCCAAGGCCTGGGGCGGTGCCAGGGAGCCCGCGGATCAAGGGTCAAAGTCGGTTGGTTAATTACAGCCTCTCCCCCCTTGGAGGCGCTGGACGGGTGTTTGGCACATCCCGCCCCACCCCCAGGCCCGGGGAGGGGGCGTCCGAGGAGCGGGCTTTCTCCAGGGGGCGGTTTGCCGGGGGAGGGGGAGGGGGAGGGGCGGGGCGGGGAGGGGGCGGCCACCCGGAGCAGAAGGTTCTGGGGCCGAGGGAGGAAGAGGCCGCCGCGTGAGAAGCAACGCAGGTTACTCATTCCGAGTGGCCTCCGACGCCGCGGTCCAGGCGTTTCCCAAAAATAAACGGGGTGCACCGCCTCCCGGGGCCTGGGGGGTGGCCGCCTTAACACCACTCCCAGCTCAACTGTGCCCGCTGCCAGGGGGGAGCAGGCGTTTGTCACGGAGGTGGTCCCCTCTGTCTCCGGGCCAGGGGGCGCCCTCCCGGCCCGCCGTGCAGGTGGGGAGCGGAGAGGCCGGCGCAGGCGGCGCACACTCGGGTTTTCTCTCACGTTTCGCACAAATCTCAGCCGAAACTCCAGCTCGCTCCCTGCCCCCCAAAGTGGCATCGCTCCAGTGCCCTCTTCCCGCCTCATAAAAGTCCCGACTTTCCGGATTTACGACGCGGGAGCGGGGGGTCGCCTGAGCGGTGACACACCCGGTTGCCTCCCCTGCGCCGCGGCTCGGGCCGGTGGAGGGAGGGGGTCGCCGCTCGGAGACGAGCGCCTCCGACCCGCCCGCTCCCGCCCGGCGCGGGGCCTGGGAACCGCGCTCCCCCGGCGGGCGGCCCCCGCCCCCGCCCCCGCCCCGCCCCCACTCCTCTCCTTCCGCTGCCCCTGCCCTCCCCTCCCCCCCGGGCCGCGGGCTAACGGGGCTGCGGCCGCTGGAACCTGAAATCCGGCGCCCCGACTACGCCGGCCGCCGGGCTCGCGCCACTGCGCCTCACGCGTCCGCCGTCCCGACGGGGCCCGGGCTGGAGGGCGGCGGGGCCTCGGGGCCGCGGGCCAGGCCTCACCTGGCACGTAGATCTCGCCGCGCTCCTCGTCCGGGAGTTCACTCCAGTTCCTCTTGCACGTGGAGACGCACGGCTTCTTCACTAGAAACGCGCGCGGCATTTTCGAACCCCGCTCGCCCGGCACCGTCCGCTTCCGTCACCAAAGCCGGCGCCGTCCACCGTCCCGGCCGGGGAAGGAGGCAGGTCAGCGGAGAAGTCGCCGCAGCGCCCGCGTTCCGCCGAGAGACCGTGGCCGGACGCCGCGCGCCGTCCCCAGCTCCTCCGAACGAGGTCGCCTGCAGCCAGGTGCGCCGGCGGGAGGCGGCCGCGGCAGGTGAGCGTCTCCGGCTCGGCTGGCGTCCCCGCGCCGCTCGGGAGTCCTCAAGTGCGAGCCGGCCGGCCGGGCTCACGCTTTATTGGCTCGCGGCGGTGTGTGTTGGTGGCTGGGGCGGGGAGCGGGGGTGATCTGAACTAATTAGCTCGGAGCGGCCCGGGCAGCGACGGCGCATGCGTTGGGAAATAACGGTGACAACCCACCTATTTGTTACCTGTCGAACCGGTTTTCATTCCGCTGCTGGTGAGGTGGCCTCGCGGCCTGGGCGGGGTGGCCGGGCGGGGGCGGGGGGCGGGCGCCGGGCACCCAGCACTCGGCGGCCCAACCAGCCCAGCCGCCGCCCGCCCGCCCAGACCTCCCCGACGGGGCGCAGCGTTCGCCAACGGAGTTTGGGAGTTTCGGAGGGAGCAGGGGAGGGGAGGAGGCAACGTTATTTGCACCGGCGCTCGCACGCTCTGCGGGTGATGAAATGAAACTCGCCCAACTGGGTCCGGCCCGGCCCGGCGCGCCCCGGGCGCCTGGGGAGGCGCGAAACCGTCGGGCGGGAACGGGCGGCCCGGCCCACACTTGTTGAACCCGGCCCGGGCCCAGATAGCCCGGGAGCCCGATGGCTGGGCTGAGCAGTGCGTGGTTCAGCCCAGAGGTATTTGCTGGGCGCGGACTCCGTGCGGGAGGGCACGCGGGGCCCCGGAGCGCTCCGGCCCGTGGGCCGACGGGCGGCTGGCTACACGCAGGGCCGCCATGGAAAGCCGAGAGCGCCGAACTCGGGCCGGAAAGTGTGGAAGGCTTCGTGGAGGAGGGGGCATTGAAACCGCTCTGAGTCCACCGAGATCCCGAAAGGCGCCAGGCCTTAGGCAGTGGGGTTTACACAGGCGCAAACACCCTCATCTTTGTCCCAAATGGACGGATTTCAGGTACAGCAATGCCGGAGAGCCGCGGACTCCATAGGAAGTCAGTCCCGGCCTGGCTGCAGCCAGGACAGGAAGCTCATGTCGGCTTCCCCCTAGAGCCCACCCTTGGCCGAGGTTCTGCCTGGGATCTTCCCCAGTCGTTCATCGTGCTCTGCCCAGTGCCCAGGCCCAGCTGGAGGGAGACCCACCCTCCTCAGAACCTGTGGAGCGCTGGTGGCCTCCAGGAGGCTTGCCACTTGGACGCTAGGACTCAGCTGAGCTTCTCTTACTGACATAGTCAGGGGCAGGGACCGGACCCTTCTTTTTCGCTCTCTCCCTGCCCCATAATAAACATCTCGTAGTCCCAACCACACACACCTTCCTCACATATTGAATGTTTGCTGGAACAGATTAGGAGGAAATGAGTCTGAAAAATGAATTCACAGTTCAAAAGTCACAAGAGAAAAGGGTAGGGTAGCCTGCTGATGGTGGCCTTTCGGGCATCCAGTTGAAGAGGACAGTTTTTCAAGGGGTGGCCCTGTACATCCCCCACCGGACGTCTGTGGAGCATCCAGCTGGGTGGGGAGAGTGTGGCCCTGGGGGGCAAATGAACCTCCTCCTCCACTCCTTCCTGGAACCTGTAGGTTTAGCTAAGGGGCTTTCCTTTCCATCCTGCTTCTTTGTCTGTCACCTGAGAATCCTATCACCACCTCCTAGGGTCCCTGTGAGGGGGATGTGGGCTTGGCAGTGGGGGTAATAGTCACCTCACCCTTCCCTTTCCTTTCCAGGGATCTGCCTTCAGGCAGCCCATGTCTGCCTGTCAACCTTCCACTCTTATCCCAGACTGTCTCTTTCAACTGACCCTAAGTGAGCACCTACTATGCACTTCCCTTTCGGATAAATCCTGGAGAAACAACATTGACTAACACAGTCTGCCTAGGAGAGAGGTGAATTTGGCTCATTCACTCAGTACATATTGATTGAGCACTCTGGTTGTGCCAGACCCTGACGGGGCTGGTACATAGTAAGTGCTTAGTGAGTACCCTGTTGTAGTCTTCAGGGGTGACCCTGGATACAAAAGGCAGTCTTTTTCATGGACTGGGAAGCAACTCAGATGTCCCCACTTGTGGAAAGAAAGTTACACAGTGTTTGGAATGAGGCCACAGGGAGGGAGCGATGTTCGCTCATGCCGTCCATGCTCTCTCTTCATACCTATCCTGTGCCTGGCATAGTGGGTTAGCAATATTGATTGAATGAATGAATATCCTATTTTTCTTGATTCATGTGACCCATTCAGCTTTTCCTGTTCCAACTTTTGGTATACTAGTACACAGAGATACAGAGCAAAGTTCTTTGTTTGTGTTTTGTTGTTGCTCTTAATCCTCATCTGAGGATATTTTTCCATTGATTTTTAGAGAGAGTGGGGGGGGAGAGACAGAGAGAAACATCACTGATGAGAGAGAATCATTAATCAGCTGCCTCCTGCATGCACCCTACTGGGGATGGAGCCCAGGCATGTGCCTGACCAGGAATCGAACCGTGACCTCCTGGTTCATAGCTTGATGCCCAACCACTGGGCAACACTGGCCAGCCAGAGCAAAGTTCTTTATTATAAAGAGAACAGTAGTGCAGATTCAGTCATAAGAGGCAACTGGCGCTGGCTGTCAGGGAGACTGGAGAGTCCTGGGGACTGTGGAGAGTGTGCTATCTGCAGGGGCAGTGACAGTTGAGCAGAGAAACCCAATGTGGCCACATCTGTCCATTTTCCAAGAGAAATAGGAAATCCAGGTTAGTATGTGAACGCTATCAGTTTAAAGTCGACTCGAAAAATTTTAAAACAGAATCTAATCTAATAAAAGAGAAACATGTAAATTGACTGTACCTTCGCTATGCCCCCAAACCACACCCACCAGCCAATCAGAGTGGCTATATGCAAATTAACCCAACCAAGATGGTGGCTGGCAGCCACAGAGCTGGAGGAAGCAGGAGGCTTAGGTTGCCCTGGCGATGGAGGAAGCCAAGCTTCCCACCTGCCCTGGACAGCTTTGGCCTCTGCTGAAGGCAAAAAAGTTTCAATTATAATCCCAGATACCTGCTTCCAGCCAACCTCCACTGGGAGCTTGGGTGGGTGGGGGCGGTGGCCAGCCTGCAAACAGCCATCAGCCCCTCACCCAGGCTGGCCACACCCTCATGGGGTGAGGGTCCCTGCTGGGGGGCTTGGCCAGCCTGCAAACAGCCATCAGCCCCTTACCCAGGCTGGCCAGGCACCCCAGCGGGACCCCCACCCTGATCCGGGATACCCTTCAGGGCAAACCAGCCAGCCCCCACCCATGCACCAGGTCTCTATCCTATATAATAAAAGGGTAATATGCAAATTGACCCTAAAAGCAGAACGACTGGGAATGACTGGTCACTATGACACACGCTGACCACCAGGGGGCAGTTGCTCAATGCAGGAGCTGCCCCCTGGTGGTCAGTGTGCTCCCACAAGGGGAGCTCTGCTCAGTCACAAGCCAGGCTGATGGCTGCCAGTACAGTGGTGGTGGTGGGAGCCTCTCCCGCCTCCTCAGCAGGGCTAATGATGTCCGACTGCAGCTTAGGCCTGCTCCCCGCTGGCAAGTGGGCATCCCCCGAGGGCTCCTGGGCTGCCAGAGGGATGT